TCTCTCTCTCTCTCTCTCTCTCTCTCTCTCACACACACACACACACACACACACACACACACACACACACACACACACACACACACACACAGAATGTCTTCTTTTTTTGGGGGGGGAGAGAGAGAGAGTGTCTCTTTTTTTTTTGGGGGGGGGGTAATTTTCGAAATACCCTCATATGTTGAGATATATGTCAAAATGTCCCTGGAAAATATGGGCACAATGGAATGGACATGTTTGTGTTATGCCACTGTCAGGTGGGTGTGCAAATTCTCTTGGCCTTTTGCAATTGCACCTACGAAAAGTTGGCAACTGCTGGGGCATTTTGCAAAGTTGGGCAGTGTCTAGTAGGGGTACATTGCAAAGATGGAGTCCAACTGATGGCTTGGGTGTTTTGCAAAATGTTTTTGTCATCGTCCTTCGCCGTAGTGTGGCTGGGGCGGGTCCACTTGTTATTATTATTTATTGTCAATAAAGAGGGGAGAAGAAAAGGAGGAGGAGAGTGGTTGGCAAGAAGAAGGGAATTATCATTGGTCTTTGCTGGTGTACATCTACGCCTTCTTCTTCTTTCCCTCTCTCTCCTCTCAAGTTCATTCATTTCTGTTGCAATTGGACAACATTGTGATTTCTCATGCATTTGTACTTCGAAATTGACCACGATCATAACATTGGTATCGGAGTGGATTCCACTTGCTAGCGAGAGTTGATTTTGCTACCCTAACCGTAACCTAAGTGGTTGACGGCACCAATTAGGGTTAGGGTTGGTTCGACACTGGAAAGTGGGGCAGCGTGGTCTAGGGAAGCTGCCCCCACCTGGCAGGGTCGTGCAAGGTCGGCATCTGACCTGCCAGGTTGCTGGAGAGCAAGTTTCGGTTGGCAAGAACTTTTGTGGACACTTCATGCGACAATTTGAGAGAGGCGACAATGAGAGGCACTCGCACCTGGAATCTGATTTAAGGAAGACACTTGGCGACTTTAGGGCTTCCCTCAAGTAGGCGAGCTTGAGGGAAAGCAGCCATTCTGCATCTACGGACTGCAAGTTGCTACGTTGTTCTTCAGCATCGGTTGGGGATCTGGCATTGCACTTGGTTGTTGGAGTCGTACCCTCCTAGGAGATAGGACACTAGTGTAGGGGTAGTGTTACACGGGTCAGGAGGATCACATGAGAGGGGGATGAGTTCTATTCATCCTGAAGCTGGCTACTCAGGTATGTGTTGTGCACCTACGGCATGCCCTTGTATTGAATAGGTTGTCCTGATTGGGTGATTCCGAGTTTCTTTCCTACTCCTCTGCGCCATTTGTGGTCTTGATTGTGTGTTTGAGTGTGTGAACTACTTACTCACCTGATAGATGGAGAGATGAAGTATCTTGCTTTGAATGTCGAGTCCTTCTACAATGCTTTTTCTTTTCATCTTTGAATGGCTGTAGTCTGTAGGTTCTCTCTGAAAGTTGAAATTCGTTTTTCCGTACGGCAGAGGCAGAAAGTAGGTCCATGTGGCACTCCACTTGATTGGGACTCGATCACGACCTATGCAGGACCCTTAGGGACCAGTGGGACCAGGCTCAAGCAAGAAGGGCCCCTTAACCCAAATCTGTTACAAAGTGGTTCATTCTGACTGGGATTCAGAGTTTATTCTTTTGATTAGGACACTCGTTGCCGAGGGGATCTCGGCTGAGACGTTTCACATGCTTTTATTGCAACGTCTGTGGCTTGACTCGCACCTTGTACACCACGCAATTCTCCATTGTTGCATGTCATCACTCGTTGTTTGATTTGGTGTACATTCACGGAACTGGATTGGACTCGAGGGGATCTCGTATTCGGGCTGATCAGGCTGAGTCGCTGGATCAGACCTCTCATTTGAATTTTTATTTTTTTTTATTATTGGCTGCTCTCTAGTCCAAATGTAATGTCGCTCCGGGTAGGAGTTTGACCTCTTTTTTCTTTAAGCTTTTCAGTTTGTTTCTTTCTCTGAGTTCGTTTTCAATGCCTGTGGAGACTCGCAACCAAAGGGAAGAGAGAGAAAAAAAAAAGGAAGAGTGGGAAAGTGACGGTCTTCAGTGGACAAGAAACGGGAAACGGAGCATTCGTCCAAGCGAAAGGGAGAGTGTACCCCTTGAGAGTCTGATTGATTTCTTTGCTGGTTGGCGTCTCTCCAACCCATCTGTCGACGGTAATGGTCCAACCACAACTACCCTCAGTGCAGTGGCAGGCCTTACTGAATGCAGTTAGCGAGACAGAAAAACCGCATCTGCGGGGGCTCTATGATAGTGCCTTCCAAAGGGAACAGCAGAAGGAGGAAGAGAGGAAAAAATTGTTGCTCACAAGTTAGTTGTCCATCTTGGAAATTGCTCCCTCACAGAGCAAAGAACAGTGTGGGGAACAATTGCAGCCTATCCTCACCGCTATGGTTCAAATCCAAAACCTTGAGGATCATACCACTCAGTTTTCCAAAGTCTTTGCAAAATTGCGGAAACTTCCGGAGGATCTGACTGATATGACAGGCAAGTACCGTGACTTGACAGTAGAGGTGGCTGCGTTGCGACAAGCCCAAGTGTCTGATCCTCTTCTTCTACCCCCGGGAGCTGCTATTGAAACTAGTCTTGCCCCTCTTACTGTATCTTTTTTTTTTTTTTTTTTTTTTTGTGATTGCAACCCCTTCGGGACCTGCAGTAGGTGCAAATTCCATTGTTGATGCAGCAAGCGACAACGTAGGAAATTTTGCAGCGGTTGCAGCCCCACGATCAGAACCAGCAGGTGCTGGTCCCAGCTACGACAATTCCTATATAGATCGAAAGGCAGTGCAAATACCGTGTAAGTACGACGGCAAGGAAGACATTGAATTCTGTATCAGCTCCATGAGAGTTGATTTTGAGATACTGGGAACTCGGACAGAGACCCAGTTCGTGATCATGGGGATGAATGTCGAGTCCGTCGTGCAGGGCTTCTTAAAAGTCCAATCAACGCAAGTTTGGGTTCCAAAGATAGACCTAACGCGGTGGCTTAAAGCCAAGCCAGTTGCCACCCTTGAAGAACTCTTAATTAAACAATACATAAATCCATATGCTACTGCACGGGCAAGGAGCCAGCTTGACAACATCAAACACAACAAGTGGTCAAGCTCCATGAAAAACCTTCAGACCTATCTTAGCAAGATGTTTGTCACTCCTGGATTAGAAATGACCGAACAATCTTGCTTGAATGTAGTGAAAGGCGCGGTCCCCACTACCTTTACTAATCGCCTAGGCAGGGACTTCATTGG